TCTATCTGGTGGCCCAGGAGAAGTGTCCTTTCTGTCATTCAGTCTCCCCCCACCCCCGGCATCTTCCACCTATCTTCTTTCCTGATCCTACCCACCCATTGTTCAAAACCCATTATGTCTCTGACCTAAAAACCAAAAGAACTGCAGATGCCGTAAATCAGACAAAAATAGAAATTGCTGGAAAAGCTCAGGTCTGGCAGCATTTGTGTCATCACCTTTCTGACGACAAGTCCCAGACCTTAACACATTAACTTTGTGTTTCTCCCTCTTCCTGCACTGATGCTGTCGGACCTGCTGACAGCATTTTCCCTGCATTTTCTGCTTTTTTAATTTCAGATTTCCAGCATCCACTGTCCTTGGCTAAGCTCCTTCTGCTGAGCTCCCGCATAGTTTGTGAGAAAGTGGTTTCATTTTCAATCACAGAGATGCAGAAATAATGGCAGCAGGGATAGGCGGGTAATCCAAATACATTGAAGAGTGAAGATTGCAATGGTTTGAAGGCATTCCCCTTGTGAAATGTTAATGCAGCAACCTGCAGATCACATAATGATATTAGCACTGCTGACGTTTACAGGTTATTAATGATGTCCCTGGGAACTGAACTGTGCTCTCTACTAATTAAGGGAGCTATCAAATTCTGTTTTTAATTTTCACAGCAGCATGCTGTACATCAACAATGATTTAAAGTATTTCGAGCCTCCTTTTGTTGTCTGAGCTCTTTCATAAATTTTCGGATGTAAAGTTCGTGTCTCTCTGCTCCACTATATTGGTTTCTATTTATCCTTTGGCCTGCTTGTGTTTATACGAACAGATGTTCATGGTAGTAATTGGAGTGCAGTGCCAATGTCTCTGAAAAATTAGTTTATTTTACACTTTATTATCTGCAAAGAATCCTTTCTTGTAAGGAACCAGTTCTTTTGATTCAAACTGTGAATGCTGAGCTTCCCAAAGTGTGGGCTGTGATCCCACTCTGAGGCAGGCGTGGCTCCAACTGTATGTGAACAGCTGCAAGGTCCCATTAAATTCTAAGTTTTTTGAAAAAGATTAGTTGATAAGGTTTACCTTTTGAGGGCCCAATCCAGATTCCAAAAATGCTTTGTAACTTACAAACCATCCAGTGGTAACAGCGTCTCACTGTCTCAACTCTCCACTTGTCCTGTGCTCACGGTATTGCTCCCCAGTTCTTGACCCGGTGAAGTGAAGACAATTTACAAACCTCACAGTGGGCTCACAATGGGGCAGTGTTTAAGAGACACTGTTTTAATATTCAGTCACAATGAGGGTTAGCCTTTCAGCGTGAATTTCTTGGTCTAAATGTGACTTAAATGAAAGTAAGAAATGGCTAAAGTGCATCCATTTATTTTTTCTGTAGCCCTTGTATCTCCTTCATGAGCTATTTAATCCCCCAGTGTAAATTTGCTCTTTCATTCCATAATCGTAGATTCCCCTACAGTGTGGAAGCAGGCCATTCAGCCCATCAAGTCCATACTGACCCTCCAAAGACCATCCCACCCAAACCCACCCCATCCTGGTAACCCTGCATTTCCCATGGCTAATCTACCTAGCCTGCACATCCCTGGACACTATGGGCAATTTAATATGGCCAATCCACCTAACCTACACATCTTTGGACTGTGGGAGGAAACTGGAGCACCCAGAGGGGACCCATGCACACACGGGGAGAATGTGCAAACTTCACATTGACAGTTGCCCAAGAATTGAACTCAGGTCCCTGGCGCTGTAAGCCGGCAATGCTGACCACTGTATCGCCTTAATTATGGCCATAACAATTTGCATTCTATTACATGTTTTGAATATCTTCAGTATCAAACCTGATCATGTCACTGTTTATTATCCATACTGAAACTGCCACATTTTGGGATTTTGATTTTGGTTACTTTGTCTTGTTCAGTCACCAATCACTCCTCCTGTAGCTGCATCCCCTATGATGATGACGATGTTTTATTCTACCCAGTATCTAGGATAACAATACAATAGTGATCTCCCAAAGCCTTAAAATATGACTGTTTCTATCTAGGCATTAAGCAATGATAGGATCAAGCTGATTATTATGTTACTTGTGGCCAAGGAGCTGCCAAAAGTGCATGGTGTAATTTTATACAAAGGACAAGGCCAGCAGATAATTGGGAACACCACCACTTCTTTCTAAGCCACATACCATCTTGACACGAAACTCTATTGCAATCCTTCACTTGTTGCTAAATCAAAAAACCTTTCAGCATTGTGGGTCAACCTACACCAAAGGGACTGCATTGGTATAAGAAGGCAGCTCACCACCACCTTCTCAAGGGCAATCAGTGTTCAGCAATAAATGCAGGACAGCCAGCGACACCCATGTCCCACAAGTGAGTAAAAAAATGTTACGATTGGGCAACAACTGCTGGTCTAGCCAGTGATAACCACGTCTTGTAAATGAATTTAAAAATCGAGAAGAGAGATCAGTTTAATGAAGGCTGCAGAGCTGATGTGTATTCTTTTATTTGTCTGTGAGGTGTGAGTATCACTGGCAAGCTCAGTCTTTATTCTCCATCCTTTATTGACCTTGGAATGATGGTGATGAGCTGCTTCCTTGTAGAGTTGCAACCCATGTGGTGTTGGCATGCCATTGGGTGAGAAAAGACAAAAAAAAAAGGATCGATCACAATAAATTATGTATCATGATTAATGTAGCTGAGTTGTAGCTAACTGGCAGACCATTTCTGCCCTATCTGTGTGCTTCCTGCTGCCAATACCAGGCAACCTGCCAACTGTGCTACTTACTCATTACCTAGTGTCAATTGACTGACACCTTGCCAACTGTTCTTGCCTTTCTGACCACACCCCATCATTTTGCCATTCTGAACCAGTCTTGCTACTTAATGGACAACCAGACAACTGATTTATCAGCTCCTCATTGTCCTTGCAGTGTCATGATTGAACAGATCTTCAGCGAAGAAGAAGGTCTTATTAATAACATGCAGTTGTATTTAACCGTACATAACCTTAGGAAGAGACATAGACCATTCAGCCCCTCGCGGTTACATCATTATTCAGTTGCCTTGGAAATGATCTGTCTCTCAACTTGGTTCCATATTCCTTAATATTCTACCTCATAAAAAAATAATGAAATCAGACTTAAAATTTCATCGAAGAGAGTTCCAGATTTCCACAACTTCCATAGTAGGCCAATGATTGGGTCTTTCAGCTAGTGAAAGATTGCTAGCTTTATGGGTGATGGTGGCATGATGGTAATGTCATCTGGACAAGGAAACCACAGGCCCAGAACTACGTTCTAGGTACACCAGTTAAAATCCCTCCATGGTAGCTTTTGAAATTAACTCTCAATTAATATCCCTGGAGCACAAAACTAGTCTGAACTACCATGAAACTACCATCAGTTCTTGTAAAAACCCATCTGGTTCACTTATGTTCCTCAGAGAAGGAAACCTGCTGTCCTTACCTGCTCCAGCCTCCATGTGACTCCAGACCCGCTGCAATGTAGCTGCCCTTGGCCAGCATTTATTGCCCATCTCTTTGTATGGCTCCTCTGTAGCCCTCAGAGTAAAAAGGCCATTGACCATGGCTCAGTTAATCACACTTTACCTTTGAGATGTTGGATTTAAGTCTCCCTCCAGGGCTTGAGGGCAGAACTCTAAGCTGACCCTCCAGTGCAGCGTTGACAGGGTGATTGTTACACTGAGGCTCCATCTTTGAGCTCCATCAAAGGTGTCATGTTACTGTTTTTGAAGAAAACAGGATAGTTATTCCCATTTCCTGACCTGATCAATATTTCTAATCCCTTAAACAACATAGCAAAAATAGATTATCTGACCAATATCTCATTCCCGTTTGTGGGAGTTTGCTTTATGTGTGTGTTGACTGCTCTACTTCCTACATTACATCAGAGACAACATTAAACTTGAAAGGATTCAGAAAGATTTACAAGGAGGTTGCCAGGATTGGAGGGTTTGAGCTATAGGGAGAGGCTGAATAGGCTGAGGCAATTTTCCCTGGAGCATTGGAGACTGAGGTAACCTTATAGATACTTATAAAATCGAGAGGGGCATGGATAGGGTGAATAACCAAGATCTTTTCCCCAGAGTGGCGGAGTCCAAAACTAGAGGGCATGGGTTTAAGGTGATAGGGGAAAGATTTAAAAGCGACTTAAGGGGCAATGTTTTCACGCAGAGGCTGGTGCGTTTCTGGACTGAGCTGCCAAAGGAAGTGGTGGAGTCTGATACAATTACAACATTTAAAAGGTATTTGGATAAATACATTAATAGAACGGGTTTAGTGGGATATGGGCCAAATGCTGGCAAATGGGACTAGATTAATTTAGGATATTTGGACTTCATGGACAAGATGGACCGAAGGGTCTGTTTCCTTGCTGTAAAACTCTATGACTCTATGACTTCCATAAGTACTTCATTGATTATAAGGTGCTTTATGATGTCTGATGGTCATTTCTTCTCTATATCCCCCCTTAGAGATGGGAAACAGGTGGCAGTCTTCACCCAGTACCCTGTCACAAAACTTACTGGAGCGTAGGGCATTAAATTCCACCCAATGCATTGTTGTGTTCCCAGCTGCAGAAAGGGAGATGATTGGCAGCTCACTGAGTCTTTCTTTGGGACAGAAGCTAAGCTTTCGGCTTTTTCCTGCCTGGGCAATATGGAAACAATCCAAGAGCCAGGTAATTGTTAAACTCAGTCAGCTCAGCAGGGTCAGACTGGATCTGGGAGCTCAGGATCAGAGTGGGCCCAGTCGCTTGAGATCAAACTGGGTCTGGTTCCTCAGAGTCAGACTGGACCCAGTTTCTCAGGTTTAGACTAAGCTTGGGAGCTCGGAGTCAAACTGGGCCCAGTAGCTTGTTCATTTTGCTGTCTCACAACCTTGTACGGCAGTCTGAGGATTGAATTCCAAACGGCAGTACTAAGCAGTTTAAAATGGCACATACGATTAGAAACAACAGTATTGACGGTGACTTATTCTGTTGACAGGATGAAGATCTTTTTCCTCAGGAGGGTGTGATGGACAGCACAGAAGCACTGCAAATTGATCCTGATACTGAAGCCTTTGGAACAGCCCCGGGGGTAAGTTCATGAAATTGCTCTCATTATGGGTCATTTAGAACGGGAGAGCTTAAAAGAACTTCAGGAAGAGATAATGCGACCTCAAACCAACAAATATAAGATGCTGGACCGATGTTTGAATTCGAGAGTCTGAGATCAATTGAGAAAGTTAAAAATGTGGCACTGTCAGACCAGAACTTCAAGTGATTGTAACACTTGACTGCTTCTTCCTGAGGGAAAACTTATAAGGACATTTTACTGTTCAAATGCACTTTCTCTTGGTGGTTTAAGTAGCATTAATGACAACAGAGTACAAACTTTGAGAAATCCTCTGGGGTGACTTCAGTTTTCTTTTTATTTACACTGACTTCCATTTTGTAAGTACATGTTTCCTCTATCTCTCGTGGACTTGTGTACAATTCCAGAAACAGATACATCCTGAGAACATAGGATTCTGAGGAAGAGTCATATTGGATTCGAAATGTTAACTCTATTTCTCTCTCCACAGGTGCTGCCAGATCTGCTGAGTTTTTTCAGTATTTTCTGTGCTTATTTTAAATTTTCAGCATCCAATGTATTTTGTTTTATTTATGTGGACTTTGGAAGTGAGTAAAGGCAGGGTGTTAGGATTCCCGTAGGGAATTATAACTTGAATTCCCAGTACATTAAAACAATCGCACAAGAAGATTTCGAGTTCTCAGACTCTCACTGTAACACTCAATCTAAAACTATTTCAATATGCAAATAATGTGCTAAACTACAGAAAAGATCTCCCATTTAAAATCAAAATGTCCAAAAATCTCCCTCTATGAATATTCCTTATTCTGTCCCTTACTTTACTCTCTCGGAACCAGTCCAAAATAATTCTTACTTCATTTTCCCTTTGCCAGCCAGATAACATACTTATTTCATAGAACTGACTTGCATGGTGCAGGTTACCTGAGGGATCCTTCCGTCTAGACAAAGTGATGCAATGAGTCTTCTTTTAATTTTAAAGCCTCATGACCTCATTCTCTTCAATATGAGTGGGAATTCCCACAAAATTCATGTATTATAAAGCATAAAGACTTGCAGTCTCTCTCACTGTCTCCATCTCTCTTGTTTCATTACTCTCTTGCTGTCTCTCTCTTTCCTTCCCTCTTGTCATGTTGTCTGCCTCTCACTCTCTCTTTCTCTCTATCATTGCAGACTTGAGGATAATCTGTACTCTGGTCCTATCCTTCTCAAAGTCCATCTCAATAACATTGTGAATCATTTGGGCCTTGTATCCAAATAAAAATGCTAAATAGCTATCCTTTCAACTCGCAACTTCATTCTATCGTCAAACTAAATAGATAATTGATGTATAGTCATTTACAAAATTTGACATTTCCAAGCACCTTCCTAAATCTTTTGAGGTGAACAGTCCATACACTGTCAATGTTAATATTTTTGCCATTGTCAAAATGAAGATCTTGCCCTTTTTTCTCAATTAATGGGTCTAGGTCCCCTTCTAATCTTCAATAACAAATCTATCCAATTTTACTGTCAACAGGTCACATGACTCTCCTCATTGTTCCTTTTTACCCTAAATTAAGTGCATTGCCCCCAAACATAGTATTACAAAACCTCACATTTGTAACAAGGGTAACTTGATAAGGTAGATGCGGGGGCAGGCTGTTCCCATTTGTGGATGAGTTCAGAACAAGGGTGACTGAAGGGAAGATAGCAGCAATCAATATTTTGAAATAGTTTAGGAAGAATTTCTTTTCACAAAATATAAGGATTTAGATACTGATTACCACACAGAGCATTTGGAAGAGTTAACACTGCTGTATTTTTGGAGTAGGTCAAAAATCACATGATACCAGGTTATAGTCCAACAGGTTTATTTGAAGACACAAGCTTTCAGAGTCTCACTCCTTCTTCTGGTGCCAGGAGCAAGACACTGGAAGCTTGTGTATTCAAATAAACCCATTGGACTATAACCTGGTGTTGTGTGATTTTTGACCTTGTCCACCCCAGTCCAACACTGGCACTTCCACATCACAGCATTTTTGGAGTGGCTTGAAGTGTATGTGAGACCCTGCAAAAGCTAGTATAACAGAGTCTGTAAAGAGGAAATAATTCATTGAGGGATTCTTGTACAGTATTTTAAAAAATTCATTGGAGAGCACTGGGTCTAAGGGTCCTGTTTCTGTGCTGTAGGTTCTCAGTTCACCTATGGAGAGCAGGGGCTGGATATTTTCTGCCTGTCATTGAGTGTGTTTTGGACAGAGGGTGGGTACCACGATGTAGGGAGAGTTCCCAGCCCATTACTTTCCTACCAACCCCGAGCTTGCCCCACAATACAGAGGACATGTGTAAAACTTCTTCAGAACTGATTGTAGCTAGGAAAAGGTTGGTATATCTGCTAAAGAAGTGGAGGGTGAGGAGTAAACAATGGGTGGAGATCGACCCCAGAGAGAAAAATGGTTGGGCAGACAAGGAATGGGTAACATTCAGCCTGGGAGAATCAATAGCTACCAATGGGGACCATTAGTGGCTGACAATGAGTTGTTTGTGGTCGCAGCCCATATGATGACAAAGCCTATTGTGTGGGGGTTGGGAAAGTATTATCATTGGAGGGTACCCCTTACCCATCAGGGTCACACCCCCACACCACCCCATCAAGAAGGCAGCACCTCTCTTTCCTTCCCACCCGCGAGTTCTTGACCAATCTCCCCCAACTGCAAAACGAGAAAAGTTCAAAATGCCTCGCCCTAACTCATGTCAGGGTCCACCAGGCCCCCTCATTGGCCTGACTGTGGTCCGAATTATCAACACCAGCAGCTCTGGAGTTTGGGGGTTCCTGTGCGGTGGGTGGTAGACCCACGAGGAACTGGTTTTGTCCACCTGCAGTGCTTTATGGGTGCGAAGCAGGCTTCTGACCATCCAGTCAGCTGACCGCCCACTTTCCTGCTCCCTTCACCCGTGCCCTATAATGTTCCTCCCCAGATGGTGTTAGGTTCACTTATCCAAAAAATGTCTCCGTCAAACATCAGCTGCTGTTTGGTAATTGGCCTACCACTGGAGACTAAATATTAATTGCTTTGCCAGTTCTGGTTACTATCTAGCATTGCCTGCTGGAACATGAGCTCAAAGGTCAGGACCCGCATTGACATACAGACTCAATTTCTAAACCCATACATGTGAGGAACAGGAGGCACCAGTGGACTTTGTAACTACAAAAGCCAGTCAAGGCTATGAATCCTGCAGTAATTAACTCACCGCTTGACTCCCTAAAGCCTGTCCACCAGCTCTGTACAAGGCACAAGTCAGGAGTGCGATGGAATGAGTGCAGCTCCAAAAACTTTCAAGAAGCTGGACACCAGTCTGCTTGATTGACATCCCATTTAATACATTCGACATGCACTCCCCGACCACTGATGCACAGCTGCAGCAGTGTGTGCCATCTTCAAGATGCACTGCAGCAACTCGCCAAGGTTCTCTTGATAGCACCTTCCAAACCTGAGACCTTGAAAATCTAGAAGGACAAGGGCAGCAGATACTTGGGAACACCACCAACTGCAAGGAAAACCTGCAAGTTCCTCTCCAAGCCTCTCAGGATCCTGACTTGGAATTATATTGCTGTTTCTTCACAGTCACTGGGTCAAAATCCTGGAGCTCCCTCCTTAACCTACACCACATGTAGGGCAGCAGTTCAAGAATGTAGCTCACTACTAACTTCTCCAGAGCATTTAGGAATGGGGAATAAATAAACAAACCAGGAACAAATGTGGTTTTAAAAATCTGTATTTTAAGCACTGAGGAGGTAATGCAGTTACCAAATTGTCATCTATCAGTGTGGCAGGGACAATGTGGACAACAGTTCAGTTTCAGAGGTCTCGAACTCCCCATTATCCCTTGGCTGATCCCACCAGGTTTTAAATACCACTTGTTGTCGTTGGAGGCCCCCTCAAAAGCCGGGTGGGAATTCAGGACCAAATACAATTAAAAACCACCCAGCTGCCTCTGTATGGTAACCATGCAGAGACAGCTTCTTAGGGCTCATCCCGAGAAGGATAGAGAAAGTCGGAAACTTTTGTTATGTTCAAGCTGATGTTTCTCTCCATTTCCACCCTCTGTAGGATGAATATCAAGATTATGAGCCCGAAGCGTGAGTATCCACAGACCTGGGCGCACTGACCAAGGACTCTTTTATTTCTCCTTCTCTCTTTTTCTATGTGAATGTACTTCAAATTCAGATATTACTGGTTGTAAAATTCTTCCTTTAAGTGTGTGTGTTTTTTTACAGTGTTCTTTGAAGTCTTCCACTCGCTGTACTCAAGAGTGTTGTGGCTTTTGGCCAGGCCCCATTCCAGTGATTCCCTCCCACTGAAATGAGGGCCTGGGAGCAGGACCCTCTCAGTTCCGTAGACATAGTGTTTGGGGTTCAACAGTATGAAACTGCCTATCTGTCTAATGCTTTCTTGTGTATGTGTAAAAAAGAAAGGTTTTGTGTGACTGCATCTGTGTGTGCGTGTGAGTGTGTGTGCGCGTAACGTGTCTGTGTGTGTGTGTGCATTTGTGTGAATGTGTTTGTATCTCCTGGTGTAACCTATTTACTGCTCTGTTTTCTATGTATGACAGTTCCGTTCGCTGAGAACTTTGTTGTATGTACAGTGTATGCAATGGTCAGCATGGAGCTATGCACTTACAATTATCTACTGTGACACTGAAAATCATTTTGTGCTGGTGGGTTTTTTTTGATGAGTGTATGTAAATATCTCGTGTTTCTGTGAAACAAATTAAACTGAATATGCAAAACACTCCCTGCCGTTGAGTCTGTTCTACGGGTTATGTTGCGGCAATGTGTGTGGTGAATCATCAAGACACCACGGCTGGGGCAGTGCGGTAAGTCGGAATTCCACCGCCTTGTGTTGGGTGCAGGTTTACACCCTGTTCCAAACCTCATCCGTAATTCCTTCAGGGTGAATCCCTAGTTACCACCCTCCCAGAGGTGAGGAGAGTGAAAGCAGCTAAAAGGAGAGGAGGGGTGTGTGCATGAAATTGCATGATCAGCCATGATTGTATTGAATGGTAGTGCAGGCTTGAAGGGCCGAATGGCCTACTCCTGCACTGTTTTCTATGTTTCTCCCCCAGTCTGGCAAGCTTACCCTAAACTGATTTTAATGGCTGTCTGTCTGTCTTGATTGGCACAGAGCAAGACTTCTGTCCCTCAAGGAAGTCGTGCATTCAAAAGCAGATAGCATTTCAAACGAGCTGTGGATGCCACTGGGGTGAGGAGGCTCCTCAACAAAGAGGAGCCAAGGTCTTGGACACCCAGTCAAGTCCAATGTTTGGCAGGCGAGTAAGATACAAGCAGTGACTGGCACATGAAGAGCTGCCCTGATGCCTGACTTTGACCCCCTTCCCCATCTGCTAGCCCACTCTCAGGGAAAGGTGGAGAGGATGTAAAATCACAGCCTATATCTTGTTGTGACTAAGTGATTAACTTCATAGTGACATTGACAAGAGTCTTGGGAGTGTATTCTCTCATTACACTGGCAGGGAAGCCTAAAGAAAAGGGAAGTAACTGCTAGGATTGTGTTCCTGGATTAAAATATTGGTGTAAAATGTGATTTGTGCAGCAAAAAGATTCTTTTCTTAGAGGCTTTGCTCTATTAAAACAGTTTTCTTGTGTTGGAGTGTAGACATACGATAAGAATATTATGAGTCAGTACTGAGTCATTTGAGAACAATATAATGATCCCAAGGGACAAATTCTGAGGAGTGGCTCCTCAAGCTAGAGATCTATTCCCCAGAATGGAGAAGGTTAAAGGTGTTCATAAAGTGATCGATATGAAAGGGTTAAGCTATGAACTAAGCTGAATTTCACCCACTCTGATATAAGGCACAACAATTGGGTAGAGCGTTAAACAGTTGGGACAGACATGAATCTGGTCCTGCCTACCTCTTCTGAGTAATAGTTAACATGCCTCAGAGTTAATGTAACTTGTATACAGTAACTAAGATGTAATAAACCACATTGTATTATCTAAGCCAAGAGCCCCTTATGCTGAGAGCTGTTCATGGTCCATCCTTTACATAGACTATTGAACAGCCCTTACACTAGCATGGAAAGAAATATTTTAGGCAGCCTCTATACCAATCACAAGCTGCTGGTGTTTGTATCCTTAGTATCCCTACAGTGTGGAAAAAGGCCCTGTGGCCCAACACATCCACACCAACCCTCAGAGGATCCCACCCAGAATCATCCCCCTACAACCCACCTAATCAACACATCCCTGAACACTACAGGCAATTTAGCATGGCCAATCCACCCAGCCTATACATCTGGACTGTGGGAGGAAACCCACACAGACACAGGGAGTATGTGCAAACTCCACACAGACAGTTGCCCGAGCTTAGAATTGAACCTGGGCCCCTGGCGCTGTGAGGCAGCAGTGCTAACCAGAGCCACCGTGCCACCCTTTGTACCTAGGCATCACATCATCCGATATCAAGCTGATGAAGGTGGTGTACTCATCCCTGTATCATTATCTACTGCCACAAACAGCTGATTTGATTAACATTTCCAAAATATTAAGGGAAACATAGGGTGGGGAGAGAAGGAAAGGATTTGCACTAGATTAGGAGTCTCAGACTTGAGGACATAGTCTAAACATCTGGTGTGTGGGTTATTGCTGTCATTCGGCTCAATGTCAACCATGAAACAACATTTACTGTGTTAAAGATGCAATATGAATGCAGATTGTGATAGCAGAGACATTGAGCAAGGTCAGCAGAGATACACTTGAGAGTTAGGGGCAGTTCTCATTCAAACAAAAGAAAAATATTGTAACATAAAAGTAGAAATTGGTGGCAGACAGATAAAAATATGGCAGTGTCTGTCAAGAGAGAAAAAGAGTTAACATTTCAGGCTGATGACAATTTCTGAAAACTGTTAAGATGTTAAAGATTTAACAGGATGATAAGTAAGGAGCATGATGGAAGTAGGGCAAGAAAGGTACAATGACTGAAGGACAGCAGTAGTACAGAAGCTATAATTCTCTTGGTCTCATTGTGAATATTTACAGAACAAACTGATGTAAGGAAAACAAGTTTATTTAAGAAACATTTTATTATGACAATATCTTGCCACAAGGCTGCAGGAGTGAGCAAGATGATGTGACATTGCATCACCTCCTGTGATTATATTCTGATATAATTGCATTATACCACAAAGAACTGAATAACTTATAGGACAAAGAAAGGAAGATGGTGCAAGGTGCAGTCTGGTAGCAATGGCTCAAGTACAGAAGCAGATGGTGGTTCCGTAGGAGATTCCAGCAGAAGACCAGTGGAGGATGGAAGTGTGGGAAATCTGGATCACATTTCAAGTAAAACCAGAGATTGTGGACTAGTCACTGTCCCCAGGATATACATTGGAATAAAAGCAGTAATTGCTTCAATTCCTGGGGAGAGTTTAGTTAGACATATAATTACTGACAATGACTTTCAATCAGGCATTTTAATACAATTGAAAACTATCTTTCAGTCTGATAAACAGTCTATTTCACCCTTGGCTGAAAACTGAGCAGGATGGATAAGGTTTTCTGTTCAGTCTTTGATTAAGCCACAGTTGTTCTGGGCACTGGGCAGGTGAAAATGCACTCCCGGTCAGAGGAAGTAAGGACTTAATACAATGAGTATATCAAAACACTTAAGCCCAAGAGAAATTTTTCACAAAACATCTTAGAAATACAACCTCCTCCTTCCAGACAGTTTTAAACTCTTGTGGGCCCAGTATTTTAAATCTTGCAACTTAACGTTTTGAAGATTAACAGGCAGGAGTAGAAGATTTCCTCTCTAATCTACAGGGAATTGCATTGCCTGATGCAGCAATGGCACGCATATAGCAGACAACTTCCAGGCTCCCTGTTCTGTAATGAGTAGGTAGGAATAAGGTGCAGATGTTTGCTCTGATCACCTCTGCAGTGCAGATGGGAAGAGTAAGACTCTTTCAACTCTTTATATATCATTCGTTACTGGCATCCAATCATGCATAGTGTGATAAGGGATCAAGCTCTGCTATATTACTGCCCAACCTGTCTAAATCCATTGTCAGAAGAAAAAGAGAAAACAAAGTTGCATTTCCATAGCACCTTTCATGATGTCAGAACACCCAAATCATTTTAGTCATTGTCATAGAGGTCTACAGCACAGTAAAAGGCTTTTCGGCCCATCAAATCTGCACGGGTCAAAAATCAAGCATTTAACTGTTCTAATCCCATTCTCCAGGCCTTAGCCCAAAGCTTTGTATGCCTTGACATTGCAAGTGCACATCTACATATTTCTTAAATGTTATGAGGGTTTCTGCCCCTGCCATGCTTTCAGACAGCAAGTTCCAGATTCCCTCCTCCCTCTGGGTGAAATTTGTTTCCTAATATCCCCTCGAAAGCTCTCACCCCTTAAATTATGCTTCCTTGTCATTGGTCCTCCACCAAGGATAAAGGTCTCTTAGTTCGAAGTTATTCATCTTCATAACAGAAAAGCAGAATTTCTTTTTCAGATATGAAACTTTTATGTTCAGAGGGGTTAATTGGATATACAAATCCCTCATGTCTCTGCCTGACACCGGGAAGATCCTGAAAGAAAATGTCACCAACATATAAAGGACATTGACCTCTGTTAGGAACACACAACTCTTCAAACTGGACTGGCGTAGAGTTACATGTTTGATCATCAATCTAAAAAGAACAGCTTGAGGCCAACTGATCCTGTAGAACTGATCAATAAGGCAAACAATTAATTCATTGACAAAGCTTGAGAATTAATCATAAGCAATTCTATTGGATAACATTCCTTTCTGAGAGAAAAGCCACCACACAGCTCTCAGCTTTCATCGCTAATAAAATTATTGCTGGGAAAATCTCATTCCTTCAAACACAATGATGGAAAAATCCCAACAAGTTAAATGCAAAACTACAACAGGCTATTACCATCCAAACTCATTCTAACAGTGGTCTGTCACTTTGAAATTTAATTTTATCATTACAGATCTGGCAATTGCTGGGTCACTTCATTTGCTTATTGGTCCTGCAGTTTAATTCTTGCAGCTCTATCAGTGAGTCAATCCAACAGTTATGTTATGTCTATCATTCTGCAAAGGTTAGTGATGTTGCTGTGGTAAACTGGTTTTAGTTGCCTCATTTATCATTTGCCATTAATAAAACCTGTTTGGTAGTTTA